ACATCGCAGAGCCGCACTAGATCGTAATTTGCAGTTGCTCAACCAGCCATCCCCTTCAGTGCAACCTTCATTCGTCCCCCCAAGGCTGCATTTGATGAAGTATGGCTTAGCGAACAAGGCGCAGGCTGTGCATTGCATAAGTCATGCCTGAGGCACATCGAGGCGGCTGGGGACGACTCCATGTGTTTCAGGACATGGCTCCCGCGACGAGCAAAAATCGCGACCAAAACGTGCAAAATGGGACGCGACCAGCCACTTTGACGACGGAATCTCGACCTCAAACCATCGGTGATTTGCAGCGCAGCGCGAAGGCAGCGCGAATGTTGGTTGTGGTTTGGTGCGATCTAAAAGCTGTGCGGATGCATGCAGCTAAGCCAATAGCTTGCATTTGCCGGTTGTCCTTCACCGGTCCTCGCGGGGCAGCGTAAGATGGGCGGGAATGCCACCAGACTAATCGCCATCTGAACTTCTGACAATCAGCCGCTCTGAGACAGATTCTTCTTGCGCGTCCTCCTCGAGTAGTGTTGGACGTCCCCCATTCTGGTCAGACCCTTCGCGCGTGCCGTTCCCTGTTGCGCATCGCTGTTCTGCGCGGGTACGAGCCGTTGTCTTCCCGTCTTCACCATCTCCAGTCCGTGGCTCGAGCGCTGGGTCATCATCCCACAACAGGATTCTCATAGCCGTCTGATGCGCAAGGTCTAGGAAGACCCTAACTTCTGTCTGGCCCCGGCCGCCACTTGCGCATCATGTCGACATACTCACAGCACTACCAGACCTACCAGGACCAGCCGCTTTTCATCGATCCGCATGCATTTGTCTATGGTCAATATGACAGCCGGCGGTCGAAAACACCAACAGATTCCCTGATCAACCATACTGGACTCTCGCCTGGCCCGCTTGCGACCCCACCGCCTGCGAGCCGCGGTCTGCCGCAACAACCAGAACTGCCCCAAGACCAGCCACCCGAGTATATGCAATGGGAGATTGACAGCTCTTCGACCTCTCCCACGTCTGTAAGGACGCCAGAAGGCTCATCATTTGAGGGAGACATGATCGATTACACGCCTAACTACCACCATAACGGCAATACCATGTCATCACACAGCTCACACCACTCCATACCCGGGGTGGATTCTGGCATGTTGTTCAGCGATCAAGGTTTGTCATCTTGACATAGCTCAGCCGTATCCGCTGACACCCGCATAGCAGTCCAGGCGGCGTTTAACGCTACAATGGCTGAGACGCAGCGGTATCAACAGCAGTATACTATGCAGACCCAACCATCACACCACGTAGCACCGGCACATCCTCAAACCAACATGTACAATCAGAACTATACTACCCAGCCACCTCGCCATGACCCTTGGAATGGACAAGCACCTTCGCGGTCCTCAATGGTCCCTCGATCCGGCCATGTCGTTTTCGACCCTGCGAGCGATCCGATCAATTACTCGGACTATCTGGTGGATGTGGACTCGTGGGCAGCGCAATATACAGACCCTTCCTCCCTGATCTCACCTAGCGAACCCACGACATCATTCCAAGGTGAACTATACTTCACCCAAGGCCAAAATCTTCCTCATCGCCCGTTCGACCATGTGCCAAGAACACAACTTCCGACTCATCAGTCCATAGAGATGCAGTTCACGCGCGCATCACCACCACCCGACCAGCAAAACTTTGTCAACTACAACGCATCATCTAGTCTCTTCACGGATACTTACATCACCAGCAACCAATTTCCCGCCCCACCATCGACGGCCTCATCGACGGGCTACCACCCAAGGTCTCCGTATCAGCCAGAAGTTAGCCCTTCCGCACCCAGTCCGGGGAGCTCCGATGGCGTATACTCATCTTATCAACATTCGGACTCTGAGATGATCTTCGACCAGTATCAGACACAGCAATACACCCATCTGCAACAACTGCCGCAGCTACAGCAACCACACCAACCTTCTATCAAGATGGACTATTCCACAGTCAGCGCTGTACCTGAACTGAGTTTCGATGCATCTCCTGAGCCAGAGTCATCGCAGAGTGCAGCACAGAAAGCACTGGCAGCAAAGTCTGGTGGCAGAGCGTTGGGCACTCATCTCGAGCCGACTGTTGCCAAAGCAGCGCATGATATGCGTAAGATTGTGGCATGCTGGCATTGTGTTTTGCAGAGGGACAAGTGTGGGCCGGGCGATATCTGCGAGCGTTGCTTCAAGCGATCTCAGCGACCGAATGCTGATTGCGGCCTTGGATGTAATCGGCTGAAGCTCATCGATTTGTCGCCATACTTCCTTCCTTCTCTGGTTACGCAAATGCATGAGGACGCAAACCTCACGCATTTCGTGACTCAGTACATCCAACAATGGGGAAGTGTCGAATTAACCGTCATGATGACATGCGGCCAAGACAATATGCCTCGGATGCCAGTGAAGGTGTACGAGTTCATCCCCCGTGGCGACGCGTTGCTAGTGCAAATCCAGTACAAGACGGATCCTGTCACACACACGAGAGTCGCTATCCAGAAGCAAAGCCCAGCACTAGGCATGGTGCACATCAACCACAACGAAGAGAAGAAGTACGACAGGTATATCACCGAGATTGTCGACCATCACCTCGACGCCTTTGGCGAGCTTTGCTGGATGGAAGATGACAATGACTTCCAACAGAAGCTCTTCAAGCTGATGACGCGCGTGAAGCCAAAGTCGGACGACGAGGCAAAGCTACTCCGTGAAATCTTCCGCCTTATCGTGGTCACGTTCATCATGTCACACACACTCACCATCGCCGAGGAAACGAAAGCCGCAACACTGTCACGCATGCACTCGTACAGCGGTCACAACTCTTACGTCGAGAACTACACATCGCCGCGCATGACCAACCGACAGCTCAAATACTTCTTCTCTCGTCTGCAACGCTCAATTCAGACTACTGTTCTGAACAAGCTTCAGCAAATCTTCAAATCTTCCAAGGGCTGCGATAAGTGGCTTGCCGCTTTTGTCGCGGTGCTAGGTATGTGCATGGCGCTTGAAGACCAGCAAAAGACCATTCACCTAGTCATGTCTACCAAGGCTACTACAGAGCGCTTAGACCTGAGAGACGCGCAGAGCCAGGCGGATATCGCGTGTCGTGAGATTGATCAGCGGATGCACTTCGTGCAGCAGATATTCCGATGGAAGTACAACCGCAAGCATAACCCAATGCGCGACGCAGATCACGACTGGGAAAAGGAGGTGGGCTTCGGAGATGCGAGCAGTGTCAACTTCGTGAGGCAAGTTGCGCAGTTGGTCAAGGAGAACAGTAAGTCGATACCATCACATTACTTGGATGTTGCGAGAGAGGTCTTGCTAATGACAACCCAGTTGATTTCCTGCAACAACGGCAGCAGGTCAGCATCTCAGCCGACAACCAGACGAAATATACGTCACGTCTTGTGGGACAGTTCTTGCTTTCCTTCTGGCTTCCTAGCGTGTAGAGCGCTTTGGCTGATCAAAGCTTGAAACACCATCACAAGTCCGCTACCGAGCAACGCCCTCGTCTGCAGCATTCGCATGAGCGTGTCGCTCCGACGCTCTTTTCACGACATAATGTATAACGATCGTTTCCCTCATTCTCTATTCCAGCGTTAGAGTCTTTGCATTTAGGCCACGCTGACCAGCTATTTCACGCAACAAAAAATACGTTGAAGGGTCAGTTGTTCAGTAACAATCTCGATCTACGACTTCATGATCTTCATTCACATTCTTGGCTTTGCGAAACATTAGCCACTTATTTTTATACCCTTTGGTTTCGTCACGGATGTCTTATTCCATTCTTGTTTGGAGATGCGATGGCTTCATCCCTCTAAAGTAGAACGATGCGTTATTTAGTCTAATGGAATTCCTCGCTTGTATCAATCTTGTTGACGATCAGCGTGCATGATGTGAGGGGCATGGATGTGAGTTTTCCGTAAGCACCACACGGCAAGGCGAGGCAAGGCGAGGCAAAGTCTAGAGGGAACACCCTCGTTGAGCATACCCCATTCCGTGATCACGGACAAGGTTAACCCATATGTCCCTGTGCCGACTCCCGACCGGGTGAGAGTCAATTAAGGTTTGCGCATCATCCGCAGCTGATTTCCCCACTAAGCATCTTAGTACTTTGGACGACGACCCGCGACGGATGTGGCGCAAATGCGATCGCCGATTGAGTTCTGCCTACGTTTCTAGGCCTATACTAAGATAACGCATTCTGGTACTTGTGTGTAGTCACGAGCTCAAAAGCTTTTAGTCTATCAAGCCTCAACTCCCGCGTTTGGGACTAATGATAAGGTTTCGTGTGTACCGAGGGCCTGGAATGTGGGTCCAGAGATGAGGGTGTGAGCAAGGCGAGTGTGGCGGACTAAAGGATTTTGTTCAATGCAGGGCAATAAGTTCAGACTAGGGCTGCCTGAGTGAGGAGGTATTCGGACCGAAGCGTGATTTTGATTATGACATGGTGTGTAGAAGAGGGGTATTGAGTGGGTGAACGCAATAGTTGGAAAGGTCGATGTGAGTATCAAGAAGGAAAAACGATCATGTGGATGTAAAGTATGTATAAATGTATTGAGACGAATGATACACAAAAGCGCAGCTCCAGGAAACAAGAAGATTACTACCGATTGAGTAGTCAAGTGCGCTCCGTGTCGTGTAAAACCAAAGAAAAGGATGCTAAATGACAGGTGGTATACCGAGAACGCCAATGCAACCATGCCCAAGCCTCCCAACCAGCATTACTTCCATGACGAGAAAGAAAAGGCAAGTGGTAATACGAACCCTTCCGTTATGCATGTAACAGCTCACTAGAAGCTTGACTGCAATCGTCCGGAACGTCGTCGTCGTCATCACTACTCTTCAGATCTCCTTTCTCAAGCTCGATGCTCATCCAGCGCCAGTCAGAGATTGAGAAACTCTTCTTGTTACTATTGCGGCTAGTCAGCTCTCTTCCTGCCGCAAAGTAACAAGAGGGAGAAAGCAGTGGTGGATTACCTACTACCTGGCCTTTGAGACGTTGGCCTTCGGACTGCTGGACGCATTCGGGAAGAGGAGCGCAAGGCCCTCTTCCCAGCCCCTCTCAGTGACAATGTCAATAACGGCGCGGCCGGATTCGTCGAGTAGTTGAAGGTCAACGGTGCCACCCATGTCGATCAGAAGCTTGAGGATCTCAGCATCGCCGTTCTCGACGGCTTGCAGAATAGCATTCCAGCCGCGGTGCATCTTGTTGATGTCCGCGCCGCGTGTGAGCAACATCTGGATGATCTCTGTGTCGCCTGAGTAGCGGCGGAGGGCTTTGACAATGGGCAAGTGCTCGCCAGGGGCGTTGGGGTCGGCATTCGCGACGTCGAGAAGGTAGCGAACAATGACCTTGCGTTCTTCGCGAATGGCCGTTGTGAGTGGAGAGAAGACACCGCAGTTCTTGTCTTCGACGCTAACGCCTGCTGCGAGGAGAAGCTTGATGCTTTCGAGTTGATTGGCTACAACAGCCATCTCGACGACACCACGGAAGGCACGTGGGTTGGGGGTTGCGGCAAGGAGTTTCTTGAGAATGGTGGGGCGCTTGACAGCCATGCATAGAGGCCAATCCTTGCCACGGATGGCTGGGTCTGCGCCGCGAGAGAGAAGGATATCGACAAGCTCGCCGTGATCGTCGTTGATGGCGGTGGTAAGCGGTGTGCATCCGTCCGGTGTGCGGTCGTTGGGGTTGACACCCTGATCGAGCAGGTAAATCATCGCGTCCTTGTCGTTAAACTTGACAGCCGTTTCGATAATACCCTTGGGCTTGTTAAGGTCTGCGCCAGCGGCAACCAGTTGCGGGAGGAAATGCGTGCGCTTGTGTGTGATACACTTGAAGGCCGGGTACTCCGCAGCGTTGAAGTTGGGGTCTGCGCCATGCTCTAGCAGATAAGTGACGATCTCCGGGCTGTTGTCACGAATAGCTGAGCAGAGTGGTGTGTAGACTCCGTCTTTCCGCAGGTTGGGTGATACACCAGCTTCCATGAGGATCTTGATGGAATCCAGCTTCTTAAGACTAGAAGCCAATTCCATGACACCTGGTGTCTTCTTGGTGTCAGCACCGCGAGAAAGCAGCAGCTGAAGAGCTTTTGGCTTGTAGGTGGATGGCCAGAGCGGGTGCTTAGGGCCCGGAAGGTTGGGATTCGCTCCGTGGTCGAGCAACACAGTCATGAGATCTACACGGTTCGCCTGAATAGCCTGGAAGAGGGCCGTTGTACCTTCTCCATTCTTTGCGTTGGCATCGCCATCCGCGCTCAGGAGCATTTCAACACACTTGGGCGAAGTGGTCTTGTTCATGGCTGATACGAGTGCCGTAGAACCATTTTCCATAATGAAGCCAGCATCGCCGCCATTGGCGAGGTACAATTGAACGAGATCAATAGAGTTCTGAGACGCAGCCAGCGCTAGAGGTGATTCGGAATCGGGGCCGGCGGACAGGTTAGGATCAGCGCCATGCTTTAGTAGTGTCTTCGCGCATTCGAGACATTGGGCACGAGTGGCGGCGAACAAGGGTGTGACACCTTCGCGGTCGAAACCGTTCGCATCCGCACCATATCGTAGAAGCAGCGTGATACTCTCCACGTCTTGATTTTGGGCAGCGACGCGAAGCATTGCTGACTCCATGTGAGGTTCTGCTTTAGCACCGCCGTCAAGGAGCTGCTCGAGCATCCGGTGCCTCCTCTGTTCGACAGCGTTGAAGAGTGCTGCCTTGCCACCAACATTCTTGGAGCCTCCACTTTGGCGTGGCGCCCAGTGCGGCGATGTGATGGCAGAATCCACCTTGGATGAAGAGTGATGATCGTCCATGTAGCGCTCGCTGACATTGAGACTGTGCAATTTCTCCTCCATGGTGGGCGACCGGGTAGAGGAGTGAGATGCGACATCCTCGTACACCGGATCCTCGTGATACCGAACATTCTGATGGTACATTGTGTCCCTGGTTGATTCACTGGAACGAGCGCTGGCTGGTGCGCGCCAGTTCTTGTGAAGATCAACGATTCCTGGCGAGAGGCCAGTGTCCTCGTGCCTGAAATTTGAACTGTGACTGTCATACGAGTGTCCTTCCTCATGGCGAAGTTCGTTCAGTGACGGTCTGTCCATACGGTGTGAAGGATGTGAAGGTGGTAAGAGGGGGTGGTCTCCATGATTGCTCGGAGCTTTTGTAGGTGGTGTCGGTGGAAGATCGGATGTCGGCGCTGGGTGTAGAGGTGGAAGGCTGGAAGCTTTGCTTGGGTTCAGTCGCTCCAACGCGGCAATCAGTCCGGCATATCCAATGCCCATGGAAGCATCGGCTCGCGCGTCGCCTAGTGTCCACCTGAACATAGCAGAGCTGACTTTGAGGGAGTCACGACTTCGTGACAGTGTGTGGCGCATTTTCTCGACATCTGTGTCGGCGAACATCATTCGGAACTTCATGCCAAAGCCGCCTTTGTGGTTCTCCTTGTCGACAACTGTAGCAAGTAATGCTGTCAGCAACAGTCCGCAACAACCATGCAAGCGAGGGTAATAGAAGCAGACAATCCAAGATTTGGGGAAACGTACACTTGTTGACCATTTGGGCCAAAACAGAGAACTCTTCGTTGACTTGGCGGACCCTTCTGTCAAGTTCTTGAGATACCTCGACGGGAAATCCACTTCGTGTTTTCGAAGCTTCCGTGACACCGGCCTCAATGGACCATAACACCTGACAAAGTTCGATGAACTCTCTGGCAAGTGGCTCAAAGCCATGAATAGGTGTCTTTGCTGTGCTCAGGTATTCGAGCATGCGGATTGCGATGGTGTTTCCCTGTGCGTTGACCCGCTTGCACAGATCAACCGATGTCTCTTTTGCTGGAGCCATGACAAAGATGGTAAAAATGAACGAATGCTGGGGGAATCAAAGAGACCAACGAGCGGGTCAACGAGGCTTCTTTACAGTGCACTCGAGAGCCCTGACTAGAGACTATCTGTGGCCCGCTCCAAATACCGTGGTAAGCCAGGCCGTCCGTCTGCTCTAGCCCGCATGAGCATCGAGTCAAGGAGGCGCGACCAGGCGAATCGCGTCGCGTCATAGCTCTAAGGTTGTAATGGGCGCTCGAAAGGCCCGGAATAAGGTTTAGGTTCTCGCCTTCGCCGGGCTTAGTGCCAAGAGCTGTATGGCAGCGCCCCAGGTTGTTCTAGGGATATCCTAGATGACACCTGCCATTCCACGTGAAAGTGTGCGTGCATAGGGGGAAAACATACGGTCGGTGCTGTGGGCCGAAACCTATCTCCGGGAAACTGTTGTACGCTACACAGTTTAGCAAGACATAGCACCGATGAATATCATTTTGATTGCCGGCAGCTTCCTTTTAGCTGATCATTGTGACTGCAGCGTGCAGATTGTGCCTGCTGGCACAGCTGCATGCCACACTACTGCTAGCCGAGCATCGTGCGGGTTGATCTTTCTCGGGTATCTAGTCCATACTTGGATAGCTGCCTCGTGCTGCTTGCATGCATGTATGATCTAAGCGTTGGCTATGCGAGGAGCGGTATCTCCCCCAACTGACTCCAAAATTGGTATGCGTGTGAACGTCTCGACAGCCCAGATAGTGCACGAAACAGAATCTGCCCAAACCACGCGGATGCTAGATGCATAGTCATCTCGTATCAGCCGCCAGTGTTCAGCCCAAAGAACGAGCCGTGCATGGGTACGTTCGGCGTTGCATGAACAAGGCGCCGAACGTAACGGGAAAAGCAAAAGAGCATTCGCCTACCAGCCACATATTCGTAATTGCCATCTGGGGTCCATCGGTCATGTCTTTCCGGGCTATCTAGCTCCATCTGCGATAACCCTGCGTGCAGTGTACGTACGCAGACTACCTTTAGGTCGCACGGCCCGAGACACATCATTTGAGTGGATGGTACGCCGTTCCGCTAGAGGCGAGGTTCGGGGCATCCAAAGCTCGTTGCCCCATGAAGAGAGGCGTCTCGCTGCGCCAGGGATTGCCAGAAGGGTCGCCGAAGCTTCGTTGAAACCTCGTCTACCCCTGGCTTCGGAATCGTATTGCTAGCTGTGCCGCACAAGATCGATCTAAGGCTGGTGCCACCAACAGCCGCAGCGAGACCTGATCTCTTCGGACATGCCTCCGCCATCCTCGAAAATTCCGTCTGGACAAATGACAAGTGACAAAATTGAACGATACAGGAGTGGAGCTAACTCCCTCCATCCACAAGGGTAGCGGAAAGTCTAGCCAACTATTGAGCGCGTGGGAGCCGTAAAGATGTCTTTCGTGGACGTCCGCTATGATTGGTCCCCAACTAAGTTTCGCAATGATGCAAGATACAAAAGGGCAAAGACTGGCTCACTAGTACCAGATTTTCAGCCAAGCACGTTGCGAGCTCTTGCCGAGGATGATGACTTCCGGCAGCTTGGTGATCAAGAGGCTCCTAGCGAGCCGCGTCTGTACCCAGTCCAAGGTCTCTCGACGTTTCAGGCCGTTTTGAAGTGAGGCGTTGACAGTGGCTCGGAATATGAGCGTTGCGATGATCTTCATGGAATTGCAAACCTTGGGCGTCTGCAGTCATGCAAATCCTCCGCAATTACTCATCTCAGGCTCAGATCCTAGGTACGCCTAACACGACGCTAGCACGTGCCGCGACCGCGCTATTGGTAGAACGCCCAGTACCTGCGAGGGGAGGATTCTGGGCCGTTCTTGCGCACTTCGCCGTTTTTGCTAGTGACCTTGGACTTTGTCGGGTGTACAATGTTCTCGCCGATGTGCGGACTAGTAATCTTTTCCATGAGACGCCAACTTGGGCGGAATGCATTCGCGAAGGATTTTGTCTCTGTCAGAACACGTTCTTTTGTAGAAGGACAAGCGTAGCATGGGGCGGCACGGCTATGCAAGATCGGAGATGAAGTTCTGAGGAAGGGTTGAGCATGACGACTTGAAGTGAGTCAGTTGGCATCGGAAGCACGGAGTTCTCCCACTTGGCGAGCATGTCGTAAGGTAGCGACCGCGTCGGCACCACAAACAGAATGGCTAAGGCTTGTCATTCTGCAGTGCGTGCAATCGGTTCCTGGTAGTCGGGTGTAGCTCTTGCAGCATCCTCGTGATAGTCCACAACTTCCACACGTATTCCTTCAGCCCGCAGGAGGAAGCAAAAGAGTACTCCTTTGACTCAAAACGCGGTCCGGGCTGGTGCTTGAGCTTGTATTCTGGTATACGGCATGATTGCGATAGCTTTGATGTAGCCCGCGAGAGAAGATTGTGCATTGCAAAACCCAATACCAGATTCCTTGAGCTGACGAAGGGTGGGCCTAAGTCCGCTCAATCAGGGTATGCATGTTTGGATTCCTGGAACTGCTCGATGCTAGTACTTGGATTGAACGGCTGACCAGTGCGCTGAGTACGATCGATCTGATGCGCGATGTGCTCAATGTGAACATCCCTTCACGATGCGTCAGGATGATAGGCGAGGATATATGTGGCGCCCTGTGGGATCGAATGAGCCAGGATCTGGTACGCATCTCATCTCTCCACACTGCGCACTGCTTACCGAGATCGATCAGACGTGGCGTATTCGATATCTCAGACAATGCATTGGGGACCTAGTGTATTTTCCGAGAGTTCAGCCTAATTGTGGCGTCGTTGGTAGAAACAGGCGTGGCTCAGGTGGTAGGAGCTGTACCCAGGCTCAACGAGATCACGTGATACTGGAGCCCGAGCCGAATGCCAAGCAGGCGCGCCTTTCTTCGAGCGCGCCAACACCCGCGACCACACCCTGCAAAGCCTTCCAATATGAGCGGACATCAGCTTCCAGTCGCGCCGGCTAGTGACGCGATGCCTACGGATCTCTCCACCTTCAATATCGCCGATCTCATCAAGACGCCGCATAACGCGCGTTTGTACAACGAAGTGCAAAACCTCAAGAAGCTCATCAATGAGCTTGTAGACTACCAGCTCGCCCACCCAAAGAATACGAAGCCAGGTTCGCGCGAAGATATTGACAAGGAGAAGAAAGCCACACAAGACATAGAGAAGCGGGAGAAGTACATCCGCGCGCAACTGTCGATTGTCAAGACCTTGTATCGGCAGAGCGTGCTGAAAGTGCGCGAGGAAAAGTCGAAGACCTCCGATGACAGGGCGGTGAACGATGCGCTCATTCTGGGTCTCCACAACCTCAAGTATGAGGAGCAGTCGCTACGATCCGAGATCTCTGCTGCTGAAAACTACGAGTGCGTCTTCGCGTGGAAAACTGCGTCCATCGCTAACTATTGTGTAGCCACAAATACATGAAGCTACCACTCATCCCCCGCGAGCAGTTCCTCGAGCAGTTCCCCGAGCACCAAGATTCGAATGAACACGACCTCATGACGGCGCGCATCGAGCACGAACACCAAGTCCGTCTCAAGCTCGAGGAAGCGCGGCAGGAGAAGCTGAAGCAGAAGCAAAAACTCATTGCGGAGGTTAAGAAGGGCAAGGACGATCTCACCAAGCTGGACACCATGGTCGAGAAGTTCATCGAGGCTGCAGAACCGATCAAGAAAGTGCTGGCTACGGAGTAAATACCTGCTACTGGATTTTCTTCTTGGAGTTGATGCGATGCAGCACTGGAACTATGCTTATACTTGCACTTAGGGATGTCAACATCGTTGAGAAGGACGGGTTTGAAGCAAAGGCTCAAACATGGCAGCCTGCACCCATCCAGACTGGACTTGCAATGCCGTATACGAGCGAAAATGCGGCGCCAAAGACTGCTCTCTTGTAGTCTACTACCACGCAAGCTCGCAAAGACGGACATGGCAGACCGGGATACACTACCTGGTTAGTTTGCTAAGGGTGCGCTCAGTTCGACTTGAGGGTCATGCACGTCCTGTCCTGAGGAAGCAACGCAGTCGCTGCAACATCGCAGCTACAGTAGCGTGTGTTGGGAAAGGTCAGGGGAGCCAAAGTAGTTGATGCAGGAACAATGGGAGCTCGTAATAGTTTGACTAGTAACAGACACGGTACCATTAGCCGGTGCTGATTAGGTGGTCAATTTTGGCGCAAAGCCGAGCCTCTACATTCTCTCCTCGCGCCTTGTCATATGTGTGCGCGAAGCAGACCCGTGTCTGGGGTAGGATTGAATGGTGGGACTGATGCCTGGTTGTGGGGACCCTGGTCTCCACCTGTCTTGGCGCGTCGGCGATTACGGATATCCACCCACGCCCGTCTTCGCCCTGTCCCTCATTACACCACAACTTGTTCCCCGCACACGCGCCCACTCTGCCGCCATGGTTGTTGCTCTAGAGGGCAGTGCTGAGCTCCTCTGCGCATATCCGGTGCCTGCGAGCGGCCTCTCGAGATGCCGTGGGCCGCCATCACTGCCGGCGCAAGATGCCTCGGACTGCATACGTACTATGCAAGACTGGTTCAAAGCGCCTGCGCATACGGAGCAAGAGCCGTCGCCCAAGCGACGTAAAACTGGTGATGGCAGGGCTATCTCCGTGCCTTGGCGGGCGGACGCAGACGCAAAAGATAGTATCGTCTTGGCCAGAGTATCTATTGACTTGGTTAGTGGGCTGGCCAACATCTGTGATGCTGGACTGACCCGTATGCAGAACATGCCTCTTCCTTCGCCAGACTTCATGGACACGACGGACGCCTCAGCCACACCGCAAGATTCCATACCTCTAGAACTCGAATCGTGCCACAGGGATCGGGCAAAAGAGACCCTGCAAATTAGACTCCGAAACGTGGTCGATAGAACGGGACTTGACCTGGCCGCCACAACCTCTTCCGCCTTCGCAGACTCGATCCTGCCCCACCTTCGGACCGTCACTACATTTGCTACTATGCGTCGAGGCAAGAACACCAAACCCGCGTCTCGAGCAGC